TGCCAACGACGACCCCACCCCCTCTCATCCCTGGCAGCAGCAAAATACGAGACGCACGTCAAAACCAAACAATCTGGACAATGCTCGGACGCCTCGCGACCACTCCTCATTCGTTTCTTGACAGGGGCAGCAGGGGTGCCAAAACATTGCCTGCCGTGTGCAATGCGAACGCCCCCCACCATCCCTTGCAGGATTCAGCCTGGCGAAGGACCCAACCAAATGCAGTTGCGAGTATCGCAGGACATGCCCCTTTCATCATAAACAGCGCGTTGCGAGATCGATGGAGCACGGGGCTACGCGGATGGGAGCCCCGAAACGTGCGTGGGGTGTGCCGACATGACTGGGCGGCGCATGCGGGTGCTGCCACTGGGGCTTTCGTCCAGAGCTTCCCGTGTGGCCACGAAGCGTATGAGGGAAGGGTGTGCCGAAATCGCCCGCGGCCGCCACGCGAACCCTGCAACTGGGGCCGTCGGTGGGCCACGATCCTAGTGAAGGGTGTGCAATAATCGCCCGAAGCCGCCACGCGAACCCTGCCATTGGGGCATTCCGTAGAGCTCCCTGTGGGGCCACGATCCTCGTGAGGGGTTGCCGAAATCGCCCGAGGCCGCCATGTGAACACTGCCACTGGGGCCGTCTGTGATCCCTATGGGGCCACGAAGCGTGTGAGGGGCCTGCCGAAATGGCCCGAAGCCGCCATGCGAACCCTGCCACTGGGGCCTTCCGTGGAGCTCCCCATGGGGCCACGAGGCGTGTGAGGGGTGTGCCAAGATGGCCCGAGGCAGCCATGAGAACCTGCCACTGGGGCCTGCGGTGGAGCTCCCTATGGAGCTGCACAGCGTTTAAGGGATGTAGCGAGAAGGCCCGTCGGCCCGAGGCCTCCATACGAAACCAGGGAACGTGTGAGGGGCATGCAGAAGCTGCCCAAAGCCGCCATGCGAACCCTGCCACTTGGGCCTTTTGTGAAGCTTACGATGGGGCCGCGAAGCTTGTGAAGGGGGCGCCGAAATGGTCCGAGACTGCCATGCGAACCCTGCCACTGGGGCCTACGGTGGAGCTTCCTGAGGCCGTGAAGTGTATGAGGGGCGTGCCGAAATGGCCCGAAGTCGCCATGCGAACACTGCCACTGGAGCCTTCGGTGGAGCTCCCCATGGGGCCATGGAATGTGTGAGGGGCGCGCCGAAATGGCCCGAGGCCGCCATGCGAACCCTGCCATTACGGGCGTCGATGGAACTCCTCATGGAGCCGTGAAGCGTGTGAGGGGTGGTCCCGAATACGCGGAGGAGCGCCATGCGAAACCTGCCACCTGGGCCTAGCTCCCTCTGGGGCCACGGAACGTGTGAGGAGCGTGCAGACATGGCCTGAAGCCGCCATGCGAACCCTGCCACATGTGTGAAGCTCGCTATGGGGCCGCGAAGCTTGTGGAGGGGTGTGCCGAAATGGCCCGAAACCGCCATGCGAACCCTGCCACTGGGGCCTGCGGTGGAGCTCCAAACAGGAACCGATACCTCCACTCCCTGGACCCTTCCCGGGAACCTCGAGGAGAACCCAGCCGTGGCGGCGAGGGCGTTCCAGGACGAGCAGCGGCATCGGGACCTCCTCAGCGTCAGCGGCGGGAGCAGCGGGAGGAGCAGGCCTCGACGGCGCCGTCTCCGCGGCGGCCCCCATCCGCCTCGCGCCCACCCTCGACCACGTGTCCGCGGGCGCCGCCCGGGGGCGCTTCGCCATGCCGCCCGTCCCCGAAGCGCTATCTCCCTCCCTGCCTCCCCCTCTCCCTCCCGTTCTCTCCTTGGCTGGTGCGGGCGGGGGAGGGTGGAGAGAACGAGAATGGGGGCAGGGTGGGATGATAGGGGGAGCGGAGCGGAGGACGACGGGCAACGATGACGAGACGGAGGGGCAGAGTGAACAGGAGGGGGTGATCCTACTCGTCCTTCTCCATCCTGCCTGCCCTTTTCTCCTCCTCCTCGTCCTCTGCCTTGTTCCGCACATTTCTTCCTGGGATCCCCTCCTCTTCCTCATCCTCCTTCCTCTCCTCGGCTTCCGTCTCCATCCCTTGCCCTTCCAGATCCCCCCCCCCCTTGTCGCACACCCGGGCGTGTCGGTCGGGCGGGCGGGGCGTTGCGCCAGAGGCAGCATCGCCACGGATGTCCCTGCGGCTTGACAGTCACACCACTTACACGAACGAAAGGGGGATCGTTGCCAAAGTGGGGCTCCCTCGCCGTCGCCGCGAACATATTCCTTAAAATCTCGTCTAGGATGAGGCAGGCATGATTTCCAGATAGAACATCTCGCCGCACGGAATCGTCTGCAACACGCGCAAAAGTTGCAAGGATGGAGGGCGGCGCGGAGTCGATCCCCGCCGTCGTCACCGAAGCCTCCGGAAGGTGGGGATCCTTCCTGGTCTCGGACCGGGTTCCGCGTTGGAGCGGCTGCGCCCTGCTCCGGATTTCCCGCCTTGTGGGCAAGCAATCTGCTGAGCCCCTATCTCCTCCGTCTCCCACCC